GTGGTGGGGAGCGGCCCTGCTGGGGAGAGCGGGGCGGCTCCGCGGGCACAGCCGGGCCGGCTTGCGGCGGGCCGGGAGCGCTCCCCGGGGCCACGCTCTGCGGCTCCCTGCACAGGGAACCTGCACAGGGAACCTGTGCGAACACCTGCACACGGAACCTGCACACGGAACCTGCACACGGAACCTGCACACGGAACCTGCACAGGGAACCCGCACAGGGAACCTGCACAGGGAACCCGCACACGGAACCTGCACAGGGAACCCGCACAGGGAACCCGCACAGGGAACCTGCACACGGAACCTGCACACGGAACCTGCAGGAACCTGTGCGAACACCTGCACACGGCGCTGCCCCGGTGCAAAGGCTGCCCGCTCCTTCCCTGCCTCGGGACAGCCCGCTCAGCAGTCGGAAAAAGGAAGGTGTGGGCTCCCGAGGAGGTCGGGGTGTAGCCCTGAACAGGGCTGCAGGAGAGGGGCTGGATGTCCCCCTGAGCCCATTGGGCCCTTGCCAGACCCCGGAGTGCCCTCTCGGGCACAGCAGCTGTGTGTGTGGCTGGCACCCAGGGGAGCCCTGCGCAGGCAGCTGGTCCTTCGTGTGTGTCCCGCTGGGTTTTGGATGGTGCAGGGACACAGGGATGCTCCAGAGAGCTGCATGGCTCTGCAAAATTCCACACTGACCTGCCCTGTTTCTGTGTCCAGCATCCATCAGCTGAGGAACAAGGTATCAGAGGAATATGAGGTCATCAAGAAGAAGGAGCTGGAAACCGGCCCCAAGGCATCCTATGGCTATGGGGGCAAATTTGGAACAGAGCGAGACCGAATGGATAAGGTAACAGCTGTGAAAGGCTTCCTTGAGCCCCAGTGGAAAAGTTCTTTTCTCATAAAGGGAAGGGGCATCCCTGTTTTCTGGCCTGACCCTGAAGGGAGAGAATGGAGAGTTTGCATGGCTGCACAGATTCACACATGTTCAGCTAACCCATAATCTCTCTCCAGGGTCTGTTTGATTTCATTTTTGTAACTTGTCTTTACAGCTTATTCGCAATGCTCCCTTTAGCTGTGAAGGATGTTCTGTGGCTGCTCAAGCCTGCTGCATAACAGTTAAATCTGGTGCTTCCCTACTTGGAGAACTAATGTATAGTAATTCCCTCCTCTCCTCATATTTCTGCATTACAGACCTCATATCTCCCCAAAATATGGCCCTATACATCAGATCTGGTCTATGTTTTGTGGTAATCATTACCACACTTCTTCCTGCACCTTTCAGCTTTTAATGCTTCTTTCTCAGAAGTGAGATTATTAGATTGCAGTAGAGTTCCATAGGTGGAACTGTGGGATTGAACAATGCCAGGATGGCAGGGTGAGAAAGACTGTCCTCAAAAATTCCCTTCTCTCCCTGCCAGAGCCGTTGCAGTCAGGAACTGCACACGGTCCTCAGGGGAAGGGACAGAAGCTGAACACTTGCAGCATCCTCGTGGAACTGGACAAAGGCCAGTTGCTCAACAAAAGCACCCTCACTGTGGTCCAGCAGAGTGTGAGCACAGCTCTTCCATTTTGGCATAGAGTGTCTGTGGTTCCTGGCCACAGCACCTCCAGCAGGGAGAGCAGGATCCTGGCCTGGCCTGTGGCCAGGTTTGCTGGCCCTGGCTGTCAGATACAGAACAGGGAATGGGTGCCAGACCTCTGCCTGCAGTTCTCGGCTGTGTGTGCCTATCTGCACTTTTCTCTTGTCTCCCTTGTGATTATCCACTGTGCAGCTCTACCAGCACTCGAGAGCAGCTGGCTTTTGGCATCCTACACTTTGCTTAATGAGCTGGCAGTGGGTATAGTTTGTGAGATGACAGCCCTTGAGAGCAGAGCTGCTGCTGGCAAAGGCCATGTGGAGAGCACGGGTCAGCTTGGACCTGTTACCCTGTGGCTGCGAGCGTGTCAGCAGCATGTGGAAGCAGCTGTGGTGTCTCTGCCTGTCCCCCATGGATGCTCATGTCACTGTCTCTTCTCTCAGTGTGCAGTAGGACACGAATACATTGCTGATGTTAAGAAGCACTCCTCCCAGACAGATGCAGCCCAGGGCTTTGGTGGCAAGTTTGGAGTCCAGCGGGACCGAGCTGACAAGGTGTGTTGGACAGTGCAGCTGAAATATGTACCTGTGGCCTGTGCTGCCCCTAGAGCACTGCTGCATGCCAGTCTGTGACTGTTTTCAAAGCTTGGAGCATGCAGGGTGTGCCCTGTGCCGTGGTGTTGCTGAAGCACAGCTCACCTGTACAGGGCAGTGACCGATGACACAGTGGGGCGCAGCTGTGGAGGGAACTGGTGTGCATTGCTGTGGTGGGCCTGATCCAGGCAGAACACTGTTTGTCCAGGGGCTGTGGTGTTTGCCCCTGCATGCTGCAGCACAAGACAGGGAGCCAGTAATAGCCTGGCCCCAGGGGAAGGGAGGCTGAGATCCATCTTGGCCTTCGGGATGATTGACAGTCCTCCCCTTCTTGTTCCAGTCTGCACTGGGCTTTGAATACAAGGGTGAGGTGGAGAAACACTCATCCCAGAAAGGCAAGTCCATGGGCATATGTGGCCCCTTGACCCTTTGCCCAGCTTCTCCTCTGCTGCCAGCATGCCATGCTGTTGGCTGTGGCACAGTCTCCTGTCCCTTGTTTCAGATTCCCGTTTCCAGTCCATCACCCTTGTGGCCCCATTCGCCCCTGTCCTGTCACTGTACCTCCTGCTTGTCTCTGTGCTTTGCTTTGGTGCAAACCCTGTCCTGGCTGAGCAGAGGAGACACCCCCACCCTGAGATGGATGGCTGGTTCTCCCTCTCCTCTCAAAGCCCTTTGTAGAACTGCTCCAGAGGAAGCCTGAGCACTGTCACACTTGAGAAGTGGTTGCTGGAAAATCAGCCCTGTAAGGAAAGGCACAGCAATGGATATGAAAGCAAAACCCTACAAAGCATCCAAATTTCATCACATATTTCTCTAGATCACAGCCTCCGTGGATTGGTAAAGATGAAGTTGTCAAAGAAGCCTCAACTTAGTCCCATGAAATGCAGACCTGTGAGAATAGCATTAGGGAACAGGGAGAGGTGACCCCAGTTTACTCCTGAAGGGCAGAGTTTAGAGACTGAACAGGCAGGTGTCTGAAAAGAGGAGTCTGTACAGCCAGGAATTAGGATGGAAGCTGAAACATCTCAGGAATCAGCCACTAATAACCAGGCTGTCCTTAGAAAACAGCTGAACATGGTTGAAGTCATTAATGGATCACTGGTTTCAGTTTGGAAAAAGGAAGGCACAAGGTGCTGTGCTCTCACACAGTGGCCAGTGTGCCAGGGAGATGAGTGGGAGCAAGTCTGCAGAAAGGGGGGTTCAGCCTTGGTGACAATCCCCAGGCTCAGGTGCACCTTTGTGGAAGCTGAGATTCCACTACAGCAAATGTCAGCCCTTCTGCCATTCCTGTGCTCCCGAGGCTCAGTGTCTTACTCACAGCCCTTTTCTGAGGCTGGCAGACTACAAGCTGAAATCCTGGCTCTGGAGGTGGGTGAGGGACTGATGTGCTGGCTGTCAGTGCCCAAGTCCTGCTTTGCTTTGCCTTCGTGGGTGACAGAGCTCCCAGTGTCCTTGGCATGTCACTTTTCTTCCTTTCCTCCTGGCCTGCTGTGTCTCCTGGTGCCCTGACCCCCATTTGCCTTGTGACCCCATTCCTCTGGGCTCTCATCTGTGGTGCTCCCTGCCATCCACTCTATCCCCTCCAACCCTTCACTTTCTGTCGTGCATAAATCCATAATTTCCTAATCTCTGCTGCTGTCCCTTTGCCCTGGTGGCACTTTTCAGTGCTGCTCCCTATCTTGTCCTCACCAGCCCCATGCTGGGGGCAGCATTTGACTCCATATACCACCTCAGATTATTCCAAGGGCTTTGGTGGTCGTTACGGAGTGGAAAGGGATAAGGTGGACAAAGCAGCTCTGGGATTTGACTACAAGAGCCAGGCAGAGAAGCATGAGTCTCAGAAAGGTGAGCCACGGCAACCGGGTGAGGTGGGGGAATCTGAGGGGGCTGGGGGAGCTGGGGGAGGCAGCTGAGGTGGGGAGCAGACAGTGGGGACTGTGCCTGCTGGGACTAAGGACATTTGCAATCTGCTGCAAGAATGGTAGAAGAGCTACAGGAGCGGTTGGGAATGGGCCAGGTGAGGAAAGCCATTGCATAGTACATGACTGCTGAAAAGAGTTCAGGCTAAAGGAAGAGAAGCAGAAGAGTTCTGTGGACATAGGAATCTCTTGGACAGCATGTCAAAGGAAGGCTGAAGGGGAAGCCCAGGCAGGTGCTAATAGCAGGTGACATATCTCAGGGATGAGGGAGGGCTGTTGCTGCAGCACCAGTGGGGAAATCTGGCCTTGATCTATGCATTTCTCTAAGTCCTGGGCATGGAAAACCTGAACTCACACTGCTGCCACTCATCTCCTTCCCTCCCTTGTGTATTCTCTTCCATGCCCCAATCTGGATCCCTGTGGCTGAAGACTATTCCGTGGGTTTTGGTGGGAAGTTTGGGGTCCAGAGGGATCGTCAAGACAAGAACGCCCTTGGCTGGGACCATCAGGAAGAAGTGCAACCCCACGCATCCCAGAGAGGTTGGGCAATGTTGCCAGAGGTGGTAGCAGTTTCCTTGGAGCTCACACAGACCTGTGTCTGGAGCTTGTGGTTCATAGTAAGAGATCCAGCACATGGCAGAGCAGCTGAGACACACTGAACCCCAAAGCACAGGGGCAGAGTAGGTGGAACCTTGGATTAGTGGGGGACATAGAATGTGAGTCCCTCAATCAGGACTCCCACACTCTGCAGTGCTTTCTCTGTGAGGGATGTTCCTGACCATAAGTTCATTGTGAGGGTGAGCACAGAGGAATGAGGCAGAGCAGATCCCAGGACTGCCTTGTGTGCAGCATGTTTGACCTCATGAACAGGGCCACGCTCCACTCAGCTGGGGTGACTGGCCTCACCCTGGTGCCTTGGGCTCGGGTTTGGCATCTACAGCCCTGCACCCTGCACCCTCAGCTGAAAGGAGGGAGGGATTAGTCCTAAAAGCTACTGTCCAGAGCACTTAGCTTTATCTGTATCTCATCACATATGGAACTAACTAGAGATAGCACATGCAAAGTCATTTAATTGGTCACAGCATACTGAAGTCAGAGGTGCATGCAAAATACAAAATACTATAAAATTGCATTTTTCCATACAGACTATGCCAAGGGGTTTGGAGGCCGTTATGGTGTCCAGAAGGATAGAGTGGATAAGGTAAGACTGCTGCAGCCAGCAATTGCTTGCTCCTAACCACTGCTTTTTGCCCAGCTGAAAGAGAAGCACAGTGGAGGTGCATAGCTCCCAGTGAGATCCCCGTGCACAGCTGTGGCAAGAAGAAACTGGCTGAGAGTGAAATACCAGAGGGTGCAGAGGGATGCAGCCTGGGGAGACTAATGCAGGGAATTCCTCGTGGCACTCTCTGTCGCTCCTCACTTCTCTGCTGTTTGTTACCCTCTGCAGGTTTTTCACTCCTATCAAGGAGTGCCTCACGGTCTGTTCAGGTGCTAAATCTTCCTGCACACCTTGACAAACTCCAGCAGGGATGGGATTGGTATAGATCAATCTGCTGTGCATGAGAAGAGCTCACCAAGTTGCTGGTTCAGGTTTTCTGTTTGGGCTGATCCCAGACAAAGCCTCCTCTGCAGCCCCATCCCAGAGTGAGGCTCAGTTCTGTGCTTGGCAGACTGCCCTGAAGGCTTGGTCCCCACAGGGCGTCCTGCCAGTGGGTGGTGATCTGTGTGGATGTGGATAGCCTAAAAGATGCAAATCTTGGGGCATTTGGAAGAGGCAGTGAGAGTGCCCCCCCTGAAACCTCCTTCCCCTGCTGGGGGGCACGGTGCTGTGCCTGGTACAGCACCAACATTGCTGTCCTTGGGAGCCTGAGGAAGCAGGGGAGGATACAAACACCCCAAAACACCCCACATGGTCCTGTCCATGCTGTCTTGTGTAGGCTGGGCCAGCAACAGAGAGGGAATATTGTCCTGCCCTCAGAAGAGATTAGTGCTATCTGTGAATTTAACAACAGCAAATGGAGGGGCACTGACAAAAGGCAATCTTTTATGTGGTCAAAAACAATATGCAAAAGCAGATGAGGACTTGGTAAAAGGGCTGTGGGTCCTTTGGGAAGATGGATGCAGAGAGGAGATAAGCAGTTCTTGTTGGACTCAAAGTGAACATAAATTTGTGCATTTTGAGAGTACTGAAGCATAAACAGACATGTTAAAAATAAGGATTTTTTTGGCAGGTAACTAAGTTTCAGATTGCCTGGTCCTCAGGAGTGGAGAAATGCTGAACTCGCAGCACCAGAGCAGAGTATAACAAATCCTCAGGCAGCCTGATCTCCCCTTTGGTAGAGTTCTGGACACTCAGTATCAGACTAAGGCTCACACAAAATACAAATGCTGTCATACACACAGCACGTCCAGGCCTCTGCTGTGACCTGTGGACACCTGGTTCTGAGCCTGCAGGCTGGTTTGCCTGCTCAGGTGTGTTTTCTGTAGGAAGAGCAGAGCTGCTGTCGGGGCTCCCTGTCTGCAGTCGGCCACCAGCCTATTGTGACACCTGCAGGCAGCACCTGGTGTAAAGTGTCAGGCTGAAAAGTGGCTCCTACCCGCTTGTTTCTTTTTGCATGAGGTATTTTTCTCATGAAAGCAGATAAACCCTTAAGCCTTCTCTATCTCACTTTGGTTTTCCTGTCCCCTCCCCACCGATGCTATTCCCAGTTCAACCTCTTTCCATACCTCCTGAAGGATGGTATCACCACAGTGATGCCAGCAGTGTTCACACACAGGTGCTGGTTTCCAGCCTGTGCCACTGCACACACAGCAGGTGAGGCAGCTCTGCACCCAGCAGGGAAGTGCTTTCAGGCCTCATGCCATGGGGAGTGCAGGGATGGACGCATTCCCTGGGCCTGGGGAAGAGGCAGAGGCCAGGCATCCTGCCAGGCATCCGCAGCTCCTTGCCATGGTACGGGGAGTGCCGCCAGCCCTGCTGTCCCGTGCCACTGCTCAGCCTCTCCTGCTGGGCTCCACAGCTCCTTTCCAGCTCTCAGTGCCACCTCTTGGGCAGGGACACCTGCGTCCTTGGCTAGGGGACAGCAGGCACGTCCCTAGGACAGGGAGGTGTTACAAGTGGGGACTGCAGCCAACAGCGTCCCCTGGGCCAGAGCAGGTGTACAGGTGAGGACAAACACAGCTGGGAACAAAGCTTGCCATCACCAGTACCCAGAGACAGCACTGGGCAGGCATTGCCCAACAAGCTGAGCAATTCTTTCACTTCCTCTTGCAGAGTGCTGCTGGCTTTGATGAGATGGCAGCTCCCACCTCCTCCTATGAGAAAACAAGACCCCTGGAGGCAGGTGAGACCCGAGTACCAGCCCTGGGCTTAGGAAGCTGTGGGCCTCACAGTCCCTCCATGGCAGCATGCTGGCAGGTGTGTGCTGTGCTGGGCTGTGCTGGGCTGGAGATTTAACCTGGGCTGGAGGACAGGAGAAGGTGGCTGAACTACAAGTTTCTCTGGAAGAGGCAGAGGTCTGGGTTTCTCCTGGATGCTTGGGGTGGTGGAAAGAAGACATAGGGCTGAGTCAATCAGCTCTCTCCTCACAGGAGCTTCCAGTGGCACCAGCAGCCTGCGGTCACGGTTTGAACACATGGCCAAGTCAGCAGAGGAAGAGAGCAGAAGGCAGGCCCGGCAGCAGGTGAGCCAGGGCTGTCTTGCCATGTCCTCCAAGACTCATGACACAGACTTCCTCAGAGCTTTTCAGCTCCATGTCCTTCTACCTAGTCTCTTGAGGGTAACCTCCTGCCCAAATTGCTTCCCTGCGTCTGCCAAGAATGGCCACCAAGCTTCACAGTTGTCACTGGACTTTCCTTTTCAGCACACCAAACACTCATATAAGGACATACCTGCACCCAGCCATGGTGCCTGTACTCTGACCCCAGCTTCTTTTGCCGCTGGTGCTTGGCAAACAATGTGGTTACTGCTCCCCAGCACTGCTATCCCAGCAGTCTGTATGTGGGATGCATCCCAGCAAACTGGAGATGGCACCCAGCCCCTGTGCTTAGCTGCCTCACCGTTTGGTACTGTTCCTGCACTCAGAGGACAAAGGGGTGTTAACAGTGAAGCTGTCCCCCCACCACAATGGTCCTCTTCGGGACTGCCCCACTGTTGTCACCAGCCTGTGAGTGCCCAGGCCCAGAGCAGGTTTGTAGGTGAAGGAAAATGTTCTGAATTGCTCTGTTGGGAATGTGAACAGCCATTGTTCAAAGGGACTGAGTGGTCTGATGGCTTTTCTTTAGCAGGAAATCCCTCTGAGAGAGAAGGAGCACACTGGGGCAGCCCCTCCAGCCCTACCAGCAAGGGTAGCCAGGAGCACTGCTGGGGACCAGCCCATGTCACCAGGAGAACAGGTGCCAAGGCAGCCTGGGAGAGCTGGGGAGGGGATTGCACCTGAGAGGGGCTGTACTTTATGTGCCAGAAGATGTGGAGCACAGCCACAGGGTGTGAGAAGCTTTGGAAGGGTAAGGGGGAGCACTGGGATGGGGATGGGACATGGCTGCACAGCACCTGACCCCATGGGACAAGCTCCGGGTGTGGGTCAGTGTGGTGGGCTACAGTGGGCTGTGGTGAAGTATGAACAGAGTTCAAACACCTGAGTCCTGAGGGTCTCCAGAGTAATCCCAGCTGCCGGTTCAGGAAGGCCCGAGTAGCTCAGCTGTTTCCCTGGTGTGCAGGGAATGATGCTCTATTTGTGCCCTGGCAACAGGAAAGGGGCTGCCTTGTGTCACGTCCTAGGAGTCAGGGAAGAACTGCCTGCACTGAGTGCTTTGCAAGTGACTTTCCTGTTACTTTCCCACCTCATGGCAGGAGGCCAAAAGGGAGGATGAAGAAGCACCACCCTCTTTGCCACCAAGGCCAGCAGATCTGGATGCAGACCAGTGCAAGGTCCCCAGCCAGGGTCAGCCCACCTACAGCGTAAGTCTGGATGCTGATGGAGGCTATGAGGAGCTGCCAGAATCCTCTGACTACTGTGACATTACCAGTGGAGGTGCTGACTATGAGGAGCTGCCAGCCCCGCTGGGAAAGCTGGATGCTACCTATGACTTTGGAGGAGATGGAGGTGAAGACTATGAGGTGATCCTTCCTCAGGAGCCCAGACAGAGCCAGCCCCACCTGGGTGAGTACTGATGGAAAAGCCCATGTCTTGGGGAGCTTGTACCTTTCCACTAACCTCACTGGATGTATGGGACAAAGCCCAGAGGAATTTTTATCCTGAAGTCCACTGTGGTCAGGATAGCAGTTTCTGATGATCAATTCTTGGTTGTGTCCCACCCCCCTGCTCAGCTCTAAGGTGCAGATGAGCTGCATGGGATGCTGGACCGGACAGCAGGAATCTGCTGGGTCGGGGTCTGGGCAGGAGGCTGCCACAGGCCCAGGAGAAGCTGGATGTGGACCGATGCTCTTGCTGCAATTTCCTGGCAAGTGGCTACTAGTGCTGCAATGGGGGTGCCTCTGGTTCTGCCCATTCTTCACATGGCTGGTGTTCCTGAGACCTGGTCTGGTGGAGTCTCCTGGTGTGAGGAGTGCAGGCAGCCTTTGTCCGAGCACAGAAGCAAACTGCATGGGCCACTGTCAGTGCTTCCATCACAGCTTTGCTGGTACTGGAGCTGTCAGGTGAAGAGGTTGGAGTTATTCCCAGCCTTTTTCTAGGGAGACGAGGGTGAAAGATCAGGACCCAACTGTCTCCTTGAAGAAGGCGAGGGAAGTCACACCTTGCTTTGGGCTGTGGTGCGCCTCTCCTTGCTCACAGGGTTTGGATGTGCTTCCCCAGAGCTGGAGGGTGGCACTGACCAGGACAGTGTGTCTGCTTCAGCCTGTCTCATCTGTCTCTCTCGTGTTCTGCAGGGAACTTGGACAGTGCTTACGAGGGGCAGAGCCCCGGGCTCTGCGCAGTGGCTCTCTACGATTACCAAGGAGGTGGGTCTGCCCTCGGGGCTTAGGGGAAGGTGCTGTCCCCTGGCAGGGCTGTGCAACGGGGACATGGGGGTTCACCACATCAGCACTGCAGAAAAGACTGGGACTTGGTGGTTTAAATTTCTGCCTCCTGGGAAGCAGAATGAGACCTGACTTGGGAACTGTCATTGTGTAGGAATGATATTCTCCAATTTAGTACTCCCAGTAAAAAAAACTGCATCACTTCTCCTTTCCAATTGGAGGCACAAAAAGGCAAAGATCACAGGCTGAGATAAGAACAATGTACTGGAAACAGCAATAAGAAAGGAAACAGTAACAGCAACAATGTTAATAACCAAAGGTATAAGAAAATAAATTATTCACACAGGAAAACACCCAGCAATAGGCAATATTTTCTCAACCAGAAGAAACCCTGTCTTCCTTGGAATCGAGTGTCCCTTTCCCTCACCCCTGGCAATGACATGAGGTGGTATGGAATAACCTCCATGTCTTGATCATGGCCCCTCCCAGCTACTGCAAAAAATTAGCCTTGTCCTGGCCCAAAGCAGGATAGGAACAGAGAAACTTCATCTTCCATCTGTGACGTCTTGCTCTTTCTCTGCTTTGTCTGTGCTGTTGGGTGGGGTTTGGGTGAGGTAAACTCTTGGGGGTTATCAGAGCACTTGTTCTGTCTTCTGCCTGGGGGAAGGTGGGAGGAAGAATGCAAACCAGCTCTCTCTGGGGTTCTCTTTGCAGAGAGTGACTGTCTTTTCTTGACAATTTTTGCAGATGGAGATGATGAGATTTCTTTTGATCCTGATGACACAATCACACACATTGAGATGGTGGATGAAGGCTGGTGGCAGGGACAGTGCCATGGCAGAGTCGGCCTCTTCCCAGCAAATTATGTGAAGCTTCTGCAATGAAGTGCAAGTTGCTTTCTTACAAACTTTGCCTCTATTTTGATTTGACACTGGCCAAATGCCAGGCACCCACGAAAGTCACTCACTCACCCTCCCCTGCCACAGCTGGGCAGAGGAAGGAAAAATTTAATGAAGGCTTTGTGAACTAAGGACCAGGAGAAAACACTCCAAGGCCAAAACAGGCTTGACTTAGAGGTACAAAATGAATTTATTACTAACAGAGTCAGAGGAGGATAATGAGAAATAAAATAAGCCATTTTTTTCCCCCTAACCCCTCTCTCCTTCCCACCAACAGTGCAGGGAGACAGGGCATGGGGGGTTTGGTCAGTTTATCACTAAGATTTTCTTGCACTGCTGTGGGAGAGGAGTCCTTCCTCTGTGAGACCATGGGGTCACTCCCATGGGAGACAGTTCTCCGTGAACTTGTCTGACGCAGGTCCACTCTCGTGAGCAGCAGTCCTTCCAAAACTGTTGTGGCACAGGTCTCTCTTCCACAGGGTGCAGTCCTCCAAGGACGAGCGGCTCCAGCCTGGAAGCAGGGCCCTTCCTCCACCGGGTCTTCCACAAGCATCCACCTGCTCCAGCGTGGGCACCTCTGCCACGGGCTGTGGGTGGATCTCTGCATTCCCCATGGATTCCCATGGGCTGTGGGTGGATCTCTGCATTCCCCATGGATTCCCATGGGCTGTGGATGGATCTCTGCATCCCTATGGATCCCCATGGGCTGTGGGTGGATCTCTGCATCCCTGTGGATCCCCATGGGCTGTGGGTGGATCTCTGCATCCCTGTGAATCCCCATGGGCTGTGGGTGGATCTCTGCATCCCCATGGATTCCCACGGGCTGTGGGTGGATCTCTGCATCCCTGTGGATCCCCATGGGCTGTGGGTGGATCTCTGCATCCCTATGGATCCCCATGGGCTGTGGGTGGATCTCTGCATCCCTGTGGATCCCCATGGGCTGCAGGGGTAGAGCTGCTTCACCATGGTCATCACCATGGCCTGTAGACGAATCTCAGCTTGGGCACCTGGAGCACCTCCTGCCCCTCCTTCCCCACTGACCTTGGTGTCTCCATGTTGTTTCCCTCACATGTTTTCACCTCCTCCTCTTCTCTACCTGGAATTAAAATTGCTCCTCACTTTGTTTTGACTTTCTTGTGTAATCTGATATCAGAGGTGTTACCATTGTCTCTAACTGGCCCAGCCTTGGCCAGCAGCATGTTCCATCTTCAGAGCCATCAGGGATTGGTTCTGCCGGACATGGTAGAAACTTCCAGCAGCTTCTCAGAGGTGCCACCTCTGTGGCCCACCTTGCTACCATACCCAGGCTGTGCAAAACCAACACATTCCACCTCTTGCCTCTGTGAATAATGCATTTAAGAAGAAAATCAAAATAAAGTGGGCAGAGTTTTGGTTTTTTCCTAGTCAGGGAAGAGGTGGAGGTGAGAACATGTGAGGGAAACAGCACAGAGACGCCAAGGTCAGTGGAGACGGAGGGGTGGGAAGTGCTCAGCGCCGGAGCCAAGATTCCTCTGCAGGCCATGGTGAAGACCATGGTGTGAAGTGTTTTCTCAGTCCTTATCTCAACTCATGAACCCTTCATTTAATTTTTTTTCCCTCCTCTGCCCAGCTGTGGCAGGGGAGAGTTAGTGAGTGACTTTTGTGGGTGCTTGGCATTTGGCCAGTGTCAAATCATGGCAGCCTCTCTCTGCTTCAACCTTTCCCATGTTATCAGCTTCATTTGGCTCAGCTTGGTATATCTACATAGCAAGGAACAAACTGGCAATGCCAGGGGGAATGTTTTGTCTTATGCCCAAGAAGATTTTGATTCCCATCCACTTCCAGGTGGGAAAGGTGGGATGGTTTAAGAGCATATGAGTGCAGTATAAGGTCTCTTCTGTCTAGGCTACCCCACCTGTCAGCCAGCAGGTCTGCAGGATTGTGTCCTGTTCCCAATGGGGCAATTCCCAGAGCAGAAATACCAAATCTAGTCCAGGCAAAGCAGAAGGGGCACGAGCTCTGGGACTTTGGTCAGTTGCTGTGGCCCTGGATCTCATCCTAGTCAGGGGGCAGGGAAGAGAGCACTTGGAAAGCCAAGTTGTGTTTATTCCAAGGAAGGGTTTCCATTTTTAGGAAACATTTTAGGAAACATTTTTATGTTTGTAACATGGACCAGAAAAACATGAACATGGTCTGTGTGCCCCTTTTGGGCATAGGTGTGTCTGTCCCTTGGGGCTGTGCCCTCCCTCACAGCTTCTGCTCTGGCCTGGCTCAAATTGTGTCCCGATGGTTCTGTGACAGCTCGTGTCCCCTCTGCCTGCTGGAGACTCCTGAAAAAGCCCCCTGACTTTTCATCACAGATGTGGGGAAAAGGCTGGGCAAGTGGGAGGAAAGAGAGAAGGAAACATTTTATTGCTAATGTTTAAAACAGTTTTCAGAAATGCAAAGTAAAGCACTCCCTCAAGCCAGTACCTCTTAGTAATTATAATAATTACTCTGTGGGATGCAGGTACCATCACAGCAGGAATAAGCTGCTCAGGGATATCTACTCAGAGATAGCTGAGTAGAACAGCACCTGAGGGGCTGTGGGAGCACCTGAGGGGCTGTGGGAACACCTGAGGGGCTGTGGGAGCACCTGAGGGGCTGTGGGAGCACCTGAGGGGCTGTGGGAACACCTGAGGGGCTGTGGGAGCACACCCCAGTCACTGCCACTGCCAGCAATGTGTGCAGAGGGTCCCACTGTGACACTAAAGCTTTAGAGTTCAGTGTGGTTCGCAGGTGAGTTCTGGACCACCCACCAGTTGACCAAGGCTGTACTATCCAGGCAGGAGTGTGGCATTCCTGCTCAGTGTTTGATCCTGGAAAACCCAAAGGCTGTGTCTGTCACAGGAAGGGTGCATTGGCATCCAGGTTAAAAATTATCAATTTTAATGTAATTTTCCAGAGGTTTCTTGTTTGGATTTCTGGTTGGTTAGCTTTGGGGTTTTTGTTTGGAGTGCTTTGGATTTTTTGTTTCTCTGAGGTAACTTCCCCAGTCTTTTTCCTTGTGTAGTTTCTGCTGTGTTTCCTGCTGCCCCTTTCCAGGGGCTCTTCAGAAAGGGGTTCATTGGTCAGACTCTGAAGTGCCCAGTGACACTGGACTGAGGGTGTTTCTAGGACATTTTAGAATCCAGAACGGCATATAGCACAGAGGGCTGAGGGGCTCACAACCTGTCTGGATAGGAGCAAGAGCCCAACCCAACAGGTGGGTTACAGAAACATTTCTTTCCCTGAAGAGTAAAATCAGCATGTGTTGTGCATTAAGAAATGGCAAACTGCTCCCAACAAGGCTGTGTGCCTCCTAAGTCCCAGTTCCCAGTCTCCAGTGGGTTTCTTTTGGAGCAGATTAGATATTGTTGTGTATTTCTTGGTAACTGAGCCAAAGATAAGCAGGTTTGTGTCCAGCTGACATCCAGCTGACATAGGTTGTGTGACTGCAGGTGTGCCCTGCCTGTGCCATCTCCCTTGCCCCAGTGAGCCCCTGCTCCTGGCTCTGGCACAGTGCTGGACACTGCTGTGCCCCATGTACGCAGCTGTAGATTTGGCCACTGCCCCCACACCCACAGAACCATTTGAGGCTGCACCCGGCTGCAGACCCCCAGCTGGAAGAGGGGACTGAGGCAGCCCCACATCCCCAGCCAGTCCTCAGCCACCATCACCCAGGGCCACACCACATGCAACAGCTGCAGAGGGAAATTTTACTGGCCATAAACAAAGCAGTTCTGGTGAGTTCAGTGCCACTAGCTCTCAGCTCTGTGCTGAGACCTCTGTGTCTGACTGCAGCACTGAGGCCATGGGTGGCCTGTGCAAGCCACTGTGCTTATGTACAAAGTGCTGCAGAGCCTCCCTGGCAGCCTGGGGAAACCCAGCAGACACCAGATTTAAAGCCAAGGCACGTGGGAACGGTGGACAGTGGGACAGCCCCTCTTGCCCAGGCCAGGTTTTGCAGTCCAAGGCACTGTCCTTGTTCTGCACAGGGCAGAGACTCAAGACTTTGGGCAGCCCTGAGGCACAGCTCGTGGCCATGCCCAGGGCCAGCACGTCTGGCACCACATTATTAGCTTTTTGCAGGGTTCCCTGGCCATAGCACAGCTGCTGCAGGGCCCGTGCTGAGCTCAGCACATGGTGTCTGAAAAATACAGACAGAATCCTGGACCTGTAGCCTTGTTCCTGACTTTATTTTGCCATTCTGCTATCAGTGATGTGCTGAGGGTGACGAGTGACAACAGCGTGCCACATGCTTAGGCCGGGAGCCCCAGGGTCCCTGTGCTGTCACAGATGTCCCACAGATGGACATTGCAGTGCCAGCGCCGTGTGGGCAGCCTGTGGTAGCCCTGGCACTGGTCAGGCGTTGTTGCCTGCGGAGCCTGGTGTGCCAGCCACCCGCACAACCTTCCGCAGGGCCCCCCACACCTCCTGGTTGCGAAGGCTGTAGATGAGGGGGTTGAGCATGGGGGTGATGATGCAGTACAGCACGGAGACCAGTACATCAGCTGCTGGGGAGTAACCTGAGCTGGGCCGGTTGTAGTTCAGGTTGGCTGTCGTGAAGTACAGGGTGACCACGAGCAGGTGTGCAGAGCAGGTGGAGAAGGCTTTGCGCCGGCTGGTGGCGAGTGGCATCCTGAGGATGGTGGCCAGGATGCAAAGGTAGGAGATTACAACAAACAGGAAGGGACTGAGTCCCACAAAGATGCTGGACACATGGAGGGCCAGCTCATTGGGGCGGGTGTTGCTGCAGGTGGCCCCCAGCAGCGGCGGCACGTCGCAGAAGATGTGCTGGAGCTGGGCAGCCCCGCAGAACGAGAGCCGGGTCGCCAGGAGGGTGTGCACGGCCGAGTCCAGCAGCCCCCAGAGCCAGCAGCCAGCAGCAGCTGCTGCACAGGTGCTGTGGCTCAGGGCCTGGGCGTAGTGCAGGGGCTGGCACACGGCAGCGTAGCGGTCGTAGGCCATGAGAGCGAGCAGCGCGCACTCGGCCCCCGCGCACCACATCAGGAGGAACATCTGCGCCAGGCACCCGCCGTAGGAGATGGTTGCCTGTGGGCGCAGAGTGTTTGCCAGGATCTTGGGCACCGTCACTGATGAGTAGCAAAGGTCTAAGCAGGACAGATGACTAAGGAAAAAGTACATGGGGCTGTGGAGATGGGGATCGAGGGACACGAGAGAGAGTATTGCAGAGTTCCCCAGCAGCGTGGCCAGGTAAATGGTCAGGAAAAGAGCAAAGAAGAAGGGCCGGCTGTGGGGAAAGCCCAAGAGCACAAATTCCATCACCTGCGTCTGGTTCATATCTGCCGTGGGGCAAGCTGGATCAGTCTTTGGGCAGAAATGAGCACTGAGGAGGTGGGGGGGACTGTGAGCCAGGAGACTAAAGCACAGCCTCCCATGAGGCAAGGAGGTCACTAGTGGAATGGCTCTGGTCCCGTCTCTGTAGTTGTTGAAAATTTCCCAAGTTCAGATTTCACAGACACTTGGATTTTGGAGTTCAAAGAGCCGTCATCCAGTGTTGGGTACCTGACTGCAGAAGAAGCACACAGAAAAACCCAAGAGCAGGGGGCATCCACCCACACCTCTTGGAGTTCTTTGCCTATTCAGCCCCTAGTCCTGATGATTATTCCAAGCATGTGTCTCTCCCCCTCCTGAATGTATTTATGGTGAGTAGATGTTTCCCTGCCCCTGGACAGGTTGCAGCATTCCCTAGATGCCGCAGCCACTAAGCTTGCTCTTCTCCAGCCCTGGGCTGGGGATATGCCATCACCCTGTGCCAGTTAAAAAATGTTTATTTCTTTATCCTGTTTTCTGCTGTGTGATAACCAGCTCTCACAAAGCAAGCGTTCCACTTAGAAAAGTAAGGTTCCAACAAAGAACAACTCATCACATGGGGTTTGTTTGAGCCACAGGAAAATTTAAGCCATCAGGGATCTCCTGGCCTGGAACTCCCAACCTTTTTTCCATCATCCTGTTTCAATTTTCACCCTGACACAATAGTTTTGCTCACTTTCACATGGAGCTATGATCACCATGCCCAAGAAATGGAGGAGGTACAAGGAAGCATTTACAGTTCAGAACTTCAGCCAAGGGCTGATGGAGGTGGTGTGTGCTTATGGCCAGGGCTGCTGCTGCCCATCCTGCCCATGGCCTGGACTCCATGGGTGGGGCCAAGGTGCTTCAGTGGGCAAAGACCAAAAAAAAAAAAGAAAGAAAAGAGAAAGCATCCCCCCTTCCTCCTTATAAAAGTACTTTTAGCAACAGAAGTCAATTGTCATGTCTGTTCAGGAGATTAAACAATCAATTTAGTTTCAAGGTTCCCATGCTTTAGACCCATTAGTCTGGTTTTAATTTTCCTGACCAAAGCCTGTGTCTGTGCATCAGTCATGCATTTATAACATTAAGTGCTGGAGAATTCGCTAGTGGGAGTTTGTTTCTTGTAGCTGCTTACCACAGGAAATTGTCAAAGCACTGTTAAAATTGTGCATGTTTTCTGTTGGAATTGCTCCACTGTCACTTCTGTCTCATTCATAATTTTCAGGTCCTCCAGCTGAAGACTATCCTGTTCCGAGGGTATTTTCTCCCTGTGCACTGGGAGCAATACCAGGGCTTGTTAAGCAGAAGCAGAATTAAGTTCTGATTAATTTCTCTTTCACTTGTTAGTTTTTCAACTTTTTTTTTTAAAAAAAAAACTTTGAGAGGAAAATGCTCAATCAGAAGATGAGTTCTTCCTTGCCTGGCACAGTGACATCCTAACTCATCACTCCATTCAGGATGCACCAGGCTGGGAAACCTCTGCATGGGCAAGTTCTCAGGTAGTTACACAGATCAACATATTCTTTATCTACTCATTCTGCACACTTTGGGCTTTCTAAAATTACTAATTCTGCACATATTGGAGAGGGACACAAGGACTGTATCATCCAGTGGTCTGTAAATCTCAGACTGTTGCTCTTCCTCCAGCTCCAGCCTGAGCCAAGAACGTTTTGATGAAGGAATAGCCCAGCCTGCCTGTCTGGGAGAGGGTCCTGGGGGGTGAAGGCATGGTGCAACTCCTCAGGAATTGCCTCTTGCCTCCCACTGTCCCTGCTGCAGTGCCACACAACGTGCATGTGGATCTGTGTACACTGGAAATTCAGGCTGTGTGAGCTGTCACAGCAGTCAGGCAGCTGGTTTGTGAGGACATGGGTACCCTCTTGTGTGGGGGGAGAGGGGAAGGCTCTGTCCAGGACCTGCCTGGGTGCTGCTCCTACTGACCTGTTCATCAGAGGCAGGAGGCTGCTGACAGGTGAACCTGGCACTGCCAAAAGTGAGTGCCTGCCACCACAGGAGGGACAGCAGGGGCTGGAGAGCTCATCAGTGCCCTCCCCATGCTGACAAATCCAGGCTGGATGGAACATGGAACTCCAGGGCTGTGGAGCAACCACAGGAATGTGCAGAGGAATGACACTGGCTTTCACCCTGGTGTGGAGTGATGCGGCAGTCAGCAAACACAGCCATAGTTTGGAGATGCCAGATTTAATCCATTTGTCTTCAGACATCCTGCACACCAAGGAATAGGAAGATATGGGAGGAGAATCTCCCTGGCCCCCTTGAACTGCAGAGGAATGAGCCTGGAAAGAGCCTCCATCTTGCTTGACCCTTTTCCTCCCTCTCTCACCTGCACTGAAGGGGATTTCTCATGCTAACTACAGACGGAGCAGGTGTTACCCTGTGCACAGGGTACAGAGCAGGTACACACACCCCTGCCCAGGCAGACAAGGCCAGAAAGGCTGGAAGGGGAGCAGAGAGGAGACACAGATGCCACCAGTGCCAGTCAGGTTCCCGTCCTTCCCTCGGGAGATGGGAGGGACCCTTGTGGTGGTGCCATATGAGGCAGCCAAAGACCCAGCTCTGCTCATGCAGGAGCTCAGACGTGCTCTATACCCACCTGGGGAACTGCTCCTGCAGGAGGAGGTGCTTCTCCTCACCCTGCACTGCCACTGCATCCATACTCCCTCAGGTGAGCAGAGCAGGTAGCCTGGAGCATTTAGCCCTGGGATGTGGGGTCCTGAGCACTGGGCACAGCCAAGGCCCAGTGTGAGGGGATGGCTGAACTGAGGGAGCAGGTAACAACACAAGATTAATTTATCTTGGAAAGATCTGGATGCCTCTATTGGAGAGCAGACACAGCCTGCCCAGACTATCCAGGAGCCCTGGGGGTCAGCACCAGGTTCCCCCTGCAGCAGTGCAGGACAGGGACCAGGTGAAGCCCTGCCCTCTCACCCCTCACCTGCACAGCCAAGAGCAGAGACTGGATGGCACCTGGGTCCTTTAGTAAGCTGTCCCCAGATGCTGTCCTATGTTCCATGTCTCAGCCATGCCCCAGGTGCTGCCACGTTTGTCTTACCTGTGTGATGAGAAGCCCGTGTGTCCTCGATGCTGTAAGCGCAGCAGAAGCTTTTAACCCTGCAGGGGCCCTGGGGAGAGGCTGTTCAGTGACAGAGCGAGGAGCAGCACTCACAAGCCTGCACCAGTGGGATCTGAGCCCATGGGACCAAACCCTTCTGACACAGGACCCACGCTGACCTTCTGCCAAGCTGTGCCAGGTGCAGACCAGTGCTGGACTCCACTCCAGCCTTGCAGTTCTTAGGCACCTGGGCTGCAGCACCTGGCCATGGGAGGAGGCTGCTGGAGGGGATGGGAGCTGCAGTTCCTGGGCCCTAAGTCCTTGCTACAGCCCCATTTTACCTATTGCAGGGCTATGAGGTCCCTGCACCCACCATTGTCAGCAGAGAGGAGCAGTGATGGGGGCTGGCCTTTGGCCGAACTTGCAGCACCACAGCTGTAGGGGCACAGCATGAGGTGGCTGCATGGCACCCACACTCCCTGTACTCTCACCACCTGTACTAACCATGCCCCCTCAGGCCAATGCACAGCTCTCTGGAGGAGATGATGTGGTCCAGAGGCCTGGGAGAGGACTTGGACAGGTGGGACAGAGCCCTGGCAGTGGCACTGACTGGACACAGAAGGCACCAAGCAGTGCCCAGTGTGTTTGAAGGTCTCAGCAACGAGATTGCTCCAGCTCAGGCTGGGTGAACACTGCCTGCTCAGAGCCTGCAGCTGTTGCTGCTAGAAGGAGTAAGTTTAGCTGGAGTTCACTGTGTAGTGCCATGGAAATGTAAAGTGGGAACCCCAGGAAAGAAGGACTGCCACGGGGAGTGAATCTAGAGGTTGAAACAGTGATGTTTCTGCAGCAGGGAAGCCGTATTGCTTCACTTTGGTGTCCTTCAGCTTCTGTTCTTGGTGATAGGGCAGTAGGAGATGGTCCAAGCATAAGCTGTGGATCTGGAATGCCAAGAGATGTGAGGTTGAACAGCAACACCATCTGGGAAGCAGGGAAAGTGTAGGCTACAACCCTAGATGGGGATGAATGCCCTGTGTGGAAATCCAACACAGGTACCACGGGAAGGGCAGCCTCTGTCAGAGGAAATGTGGGTCAGAGGGTGTCAGGGGCTGAAAAAGATAAGCAGCAAGTGGTAAAACAAGAGCAGCTGTGACTGGCAGTGTGTGTGTGTAGCTGTAAATCTGTGTCCTGTGTGTACATAGAACAGCGACTCTGGGCTCTGCCTGTTTTGAGCAGCTCTCAGGCAGGGCATCAGCTGGCAGGAGAGAGGGGCCAAGATAAGCGGATTTTTTTCACTCATCTGCTTGGAGTTTACAAAATTACACCTTTTTCTTGTGGCAATGGTGAGCATTTCCTTATTTCAAACAGAAACTTGGTGCCATGGCATTCCAATACAACCTGGCCACCCTCCCAAGGTTTTAGGGAAGGCACATGCTGGCAGCACTAGGAGAAACCCCCTCTCACTTGATATTTGAAAAGGGACTTTTCTGAGACCAACAATACTTGGCATAAATATTAAAATATACAGAAATCTCCCAGATTCAGAAATCTTCCAGAAACTTCAGTTCTGTTAGTCTATGTCTTCAGAACAGCCTTTTAGGATAAGAAATATCACTGTGTCCCTCTCTGGTCTCCTGATGGATAACAAACCTGGCCAGTGGTGTCCAGCAGTAAATAAAATCTCCATGAACTTGTGAAATGTTAGGGAGTTGTTTTTTTAAACCAAGTACCTCAAATTGGTGGTGCAGCCTTCAGGATTGGGCCCAGATCCCATAAATACTTGTCACTTCTGAAAATCAGATTCTTAACTTACCTTCTCCAAGCATGTGCTGTACCTCCCAAACCCAAGTGCACTGTTTTAACACCAGGAACTTCTCCCAGTTCTGTTTCCCTGCTTGTGTTAAGGGATGCACCCTCCTACTCAAGAATTCTTTCTCCAGCAGAAACCACTATCACTCCTGTCACAGATCCCTGCAGCAGCACTGCCAGCTGGTCCTGGACTCCACATGGGTACAAATGCTTCCTTTGAGGATGGGGACAAGAAAATGGTGGATTTTGTCTGGATTTTGCCTGCCACTCCTCCTCCTCCCTCCATGTCCCACTGTAATGAGTGTGGCACTGGTTTTGGGATAACCTTCCTACAGGGACTGGCAAATGGCTGCTTGGTGTCCCCAAAGCCATTCCCCTTGCTGGCAGAATCCACTCAGCACTTCCAGCCCCTGCCCTTGGCGTGGGGCTCCAGCCCGAGCCTTTTTGGGGGTTCTTCACTGGCCTGTCCTGAGATTGCTGCTGTGCTTTTTTTCTCAAGAGCACTGGATACAGGACCTGGCATTTGTCTTTTTTAACTTTGCCAGTTCCTTCTGGCTCCATTTCCAGTCTGTCCATGTCCTTCTGGCCCTACCCTGGAGCATTGGTCCCCTTGACTTGTGTCACTCAGAGCCCTGACAGGAGAACACTGTTACCTCTTTCCTGCAGCTGATGAGGATGTTCCACATGGACATGTGCCAAGACAGATACGGGTGACACTCCACTTGTCCCTGCCCTCTAGGTAGAGCGTGACCTCTTCACACCACCCTCTGAACCTGGTGGTCCGGGCAGGTGCTGCTTTCCCTGACATTGCTGCTGGTCTGACCTGTGCCCACTGAGTGCCCTCCTGGCCCTCATCCCTGCTCTCCCTGCTGCTGCCCAGGCAGCCTCTGGGCCCAGGATCCCGCAGCCACACCTGGCTCAGGAGCTCCGTGGGTTGTTAATAGCCACGATTCTCCCTGATGCTGCAAGACTTTCATGTTCAGGTTCTTCCCCTCTGTGCTTCCAGCTGCTTCAGAATCAGTTCTGAGGGCACCAAAACCGTCCTGCCCTGCAGGTGTCACCCAGACTGCAGTTCCAACAGACTTCATACAACCTACAGCTTGTGCTTTTGTGTTCTTTTCTCCTCAGGCTGGGCTTCCCCATCCCTGGAAGTGTCCAAGACCAGGCTGGATGGGGCTTGAAGCCACCTGGTCTAGTGGAAGATGTCTCTGCCCATGGCAGGGAGTAGAACTGGAGGAGCTTTAAGGTTCCTCTCAACCCAAATCAATCTGACACTTTGTGGTTCTAGCACCACCTTTAAAACTCTCCATGGGCACTCTTCTGTAGGATTTTCTCCTAAGTCCCACTGTTGGAGAGAGGAAAAGGATGCCCTGAGCACAGTCAGCAGTTGCCTCGTATTACTGGGGAGAGGTGATGGGTACAGACTCTCCTCACAACTGCATGGTGACCAGAGAG